TCTTTCCCTCGCAAAGAAGGCAGAAGTGTAAAGATGTGTTGGTTGAAATGCCCTCAGCCTCTGCCTTAAAGAGGGTGCGCAGTGGGAGTCTCTGCCCATGGGGAAGGCAATGGATCTCAGTACCTTGAGAAAAAAATCTTCATCTACTGCTGGAATGGTGGAAGGGGTTATAATGTGTTGTGTATTAGTTTGAGAGAGTAGTTATGTTCGTCTGTGCTGCACATCTCATTTTTCAGCACTGTCCCTATAAAAGCAGGGCAAAGGCCACGATCTGCAGGTAGCGCCGCTCTTACTGCAGCCTGCAGCTACTGCCCTACTGCTGCAAAAGTCGTAGGCTTATGTTTCGCCCTTTAATCTGTCTTTATACTTTGCTTATGGGGAGCTGGGAGCTGAGTAGTCTCGGGTGTATGTCTCTCAGTTGTTCTCTCTTAGCAAAAAAAGGTCATAATGTAGAAATAATAGGGGCTGTGCTGGGTCAGACAAAAGGTCACCCAACTCAGAATCCTTTCTGACAGTGCCCAAAAGAAAATGCTTAAGACAGGGCAAATACATATGTTTCTCTTCCCCTGAATAGCCTTAACCTCCAACTGTTTGCAGGTCAGGCACTTCTTGAGCCATCCATTATTCCTATGTGATTTGGCCACAAAACAAAGCTATATCTTGTCCTAATCTGTAATAAAATTAAAATTACCTTCTTCAGATCCAAGTTTAACAGACCTAGACAACTGCAAAATCTCCGCTTTTGGTTTTCTGGTGTAGAGAACGGCTGAAGCCCTCAGTTTAACCTTTATGGTCTTGAAATCTCCCATCAAGTTCCTGAGCGCCAAAGTAAGGAGGATATCCTGGCCAATTACAGGAGATGCATCAAGGATGAGCTTCCCTGAGATACTGGGTTTTTGTGCAGGCTGTCCCCGTGCTACTGAAGAGTGTCTTCTAGGTCTTGTAATTTTGGTTCTTTTTCCAGTGCTTCTCACACCGAGCAGCTTCAGTGCTTTTTTATACACCCTCCTTTCTTTCAAGGATCCTGCTTCGAAAGATAACATGGTCAGAGATCTCCTGCACTCTGGTTATAGTACAGTGGAGCCGTGATTGCTCTCAGCAAATACACTTCAGGAAAGCTGAGGAGGGCAAAGGTACACAAGAGGAGAAGGGGAGGTCTAACCTAACTGCTAATTTTGATACAGAAGCGAATGAATGCCTGTCGGCTTTAGCTGGCTGTTCGTGGGCACCTCTTAGAAGCACTGAGCAGTAGAAAGATCACTCCTGGGAGAGCTCAGTTGTGCATAAGATGGGACAATTGCCATCTCCTCTGAAATTAAGACAGGAGAAAAAAAATCCTTTTGCAGAAACTCTCCCCAGACAACTCTCCAGAATGGCTATTGCTGCATTTCATAACAGAAATATTGTCACCAGCTGATCAGAACTGCTGGGACAGAATGTTTTACAGAAGTAGCTTTGGCTTTGTGTTGTATACATTAGTATTTCATCAAGGGCCACAGAGGCCGTATTGAATCACTATCAGCTGACAGTGAGCCCTAAGACTTTGAAAATTCACAATTACTTCGCTCCAGAAGAAGTACAGAAATTAAGTCAGTGCTCGATCCAATGAGGCCTAAATTCTTTTCACTTCTGACCGTCAGTGGCAAGACAACTGTAATAAAGAATTTACCTTCTGGATATTTGTAATTAGCAGTGACATCCACACGGGAGTTGGTGCCCACTGCTTTGGTGCTGATAAATTTTCCAATCTTCCGAGTATCGGAATAAACTCTCTCTTTTCTTTTGTTGCTGTGGTGAATCCAAGTAACACAGTCAGCGTTCACTGCTGCAAACACAAATGAGCTGTCATAATCCAGGTTCACATCCCCTTCCTTAATGGCTTTTGTGGAGGCAGGACCGCACTGGTATATGCCTGTATTAGAGAGAGGGAGAAGTTAAATCATAGAATGGTTTGGGTTGGAAGGAACCTTGAAGATCATCGAGTTCCAACCCCCCTGCCATGGGCAGGGACACCTCCCACCAGACCAGGTTGCTCAAAGCCCCATCCAGCCTCATCCCAAATGACTGCCTGTTGTGAAAGAACACAAATCCTCATGCTGACAGCAAGAGGGAGAGGTAGTCGCTCCAAAGACAAGTTTTTGATAAAGTGCATTGCTTCTATGTCCGTATATTATGGTAACAGCGTGGCCAGAGATTCCATGTGAGTTTTCTGTCAAAAGGTAGGAGCACAGAGGAGGCTGTGAGGGTAACAAGGTGTAGGGAGAGCTAATACTTCTTGTGATGTGTGCTATGTGAAATGGTCTAACCCTCCAGAGCTTGCCAGGCTGTATGCTAAGCTGTCTCGTGAAAGGAAGGAGAGGCTGGGAGCCGAGTCAGCAGTACGATCAGACTTACGAGAGGTGAGTCATCAATGCTCTATGAGCACCGAGAGGAACCAGGAAGCTAAATTTGGTAAACTTAGTAATGGGGAATAAGAAGCAGTTTGTCTGGAATTTGATGGGATTTAAATGGCCAAAGAAATGAATCTTTTGATGGAGGTCAACAAACTAGATCAATGAAGTTGCATCTGTGTTAGTAAATAAAACCAGAGCCAAAGTGTGAACCCAAGTGTGGCCACTGGCCATCCACACTGTTTGCTAGCTGCCAAGCTGCTCACTGTGGCTTTTTCCCCCCCTTGTCAATGAGCAATCTTTCAGACAGTGGCTGTGAAGAATTCAGGCAATGGGACAGACCAGGGTTTGTTCCCAGCAGGCTGTGCTATTATTTTGGTCTGGGAGGGGGAGTTCAGTGCTGTGAACAAAAGCCATTCTACGTCACTTGGTTTCAGAACCAGAACAGTTTGGGGCTTCTTTCATGTATCTTTGTACATATATGTTATGTTGTTACACGCCACAGGGACACCATATGCAGTGAGTCCTGTAAAATATGGGTAGAGTCACGGGGCATATTTTATTTTCTGTTGTAAACTCTTTGGTTCAGCCCTATGACCATAAGCTCTAAAATCTTTACTTAGCATCTTAAGGAAAGGGATTTTAATTTGTTTTGCTCCTAAATATGTCCAAGGCAAGCCAGAAAATGTGCCCAATGCCAGCAATGTGCCCTTGCAGCCAGGAAGGCCAACAACATCCAGGGCTGCATCAGGAAGACCATTGCCATCAGGTCAAGGACATGATCTTTTCCTTCCACTCAGCCCTGGTGAGACCATGTCTGGAGTGCTGTGTCCACTTCTGGGCTCCTTGTGCAAGATATGGACGTATGGGAGCAAGTCCTGCAAGTGGCCTCTCTCTCCAAGGCCAACTCTGCAAGGGTTTGCCCAGAGGGCTTGTGGAGTCTCCATCCTATGAAGTATTGAAAACCCAACGGGACACAGTCCTGAGAAACGTGTTCTAACTGACCCTGTGCTGAGCAGGGGGTTGGAGTAAACAGACTCTAAAGGTCCCTCCCAACGTTGGCTATTCTATGTCATTTTGTGAATCTGTGTAACATTAGGAGCTAAGACAAGCAAGGGTGAGATAAGGGAACTTAAGATGTGCTGGCTTTTGTGGAGGCAGAGCATCAAAAAAAAGTAAGAGTTTGCATGCTGTTAGGCAATCCAGAGGCTGACAGAAAAGCAACCTACTGGAGACAGATGTGGGTATTGCTTTTTTTGTGCACCCAAATTAATGCTACATCTACAGGGAGTAGATAGAGACCTATCCTGAAATTTCAGGAGCAATCTTTAGGAGTAACAATATCTATAGGTCTTTATATTTAAAATGGTGTTACCTTTGCTTTTCTCCTGGGGTGTTGCATCCAGAACCTGCCATCCATCATAAAAAGAGCCAAGATCTCTTCTAATGAACCAGCTTTCATTCCAGACATGGAAATTCCTGTGAGGTAGAACAGGGAATCCCCGATTCATACACTTAATTTTGTATTGAAAGATGCTATACTTTTCTCATGCAATGCAAGAAATAACCCTAGTAGAGTGAATGAAAACTCTTCTGTGGAGGGACTCTCTAGCTTCTTGAGTACCTCTTTCC